GAACAGCTAAACCATTCAGTCAATTTTGTTCTAATGCAAATGAACATAAAGGCTTGTATTTGTTAGGCAGTCAGATATTGGGACAAATTCTTGTCAGTTGATTGGGTGTTATGAAAAGAAGCTGCAGTACATTTTGGTCAAATTTAATAGAGTTTTCTAGTTGACTGTCTTGCTTTTCAGCAAGATGATCCAATGTAAAAACAAAACCTGCTTCCAATATTTAAATGATGTCATGGTCTGTAACAAAACATTTTCAAGTGTGGAGTTTACAGTAGACTAGAGAAATGCTTCCAGAATATTATCTATTGTGAGCAAATGCAAGAAGAAAGAATGCATATGTTTAGTGTAAAGGTGAGGAGTGAACTATAAAAACATACAGAAATGAAAATGTCCAGTGAGAGAAAGGGCAGTATAGTTCTGATGAGTATTACAAAGAATTAGTTTCCCAGTTTCTCTTTAAAGGAAGCTATGTACAGTTTGAGCAGTATACTAACTGTAAGTTAGGAAATTAAGTGGCATATGCAAGTAAGAAGTATCTATACAAAGCATTGGAAGTAATTTTAAAGTTTACAGTGGCAGGAATTTCCACATTAAAAATTCATAGTTGTTAACTTAGATTTTCATAAGGTTTATCGTAAAGTTATTTGGTTTATGACTGAACAGATATATGCATTTCTGAAAAGGAAAAAAGCCTTTATTAAAAAAACTTTTATGATTAGGCTTCTATACTAAATAAAAATCTTATTCTTAAGGTATTAATAGAGGGCAGTTTCGAAAAGAGATACTGTTAGATTTTTGACAGAATACTTACAGTAGTCAATACAATAATTTTGTAGTCAATATAATAACTTTAAAAGCAAGAAAACTCTCAGTCACCATGGAGCTTATTTTCTTTAGTCCCCGCAACCCAGGCAAGTTTGATTTCATGTTTAATTCAAAAATCTCATCCCTACCCTCCCACCCTTTGTCACTTTAATAACTTCTGTGCCATTGGCTTGTTTTTTCTGTGTGCTGAAATGCACTGTCTCAATTCCCTATAGAATCTAAACCATTAATTAAACACCACTTTTTTTTTAAATGATTTATCCACTATTTTCATACATCTACTCCCATCACAATTTTTATTCTCTTAAATAAGCAAAAGGTAAGTGACTTATTTTAAAGAGTTTTAATAGTTAATGGGGTACGTATCTTTTCACATTAATCATAAGCCATTTGTGGAACAAGCTTCCTGTTTTTCTGTGCTACCAACTCTGCTTATTTTTGAACTCTCATATGAAAGCATGTCTTATCTCTTATGTATTCCTAAAATCACAAAATTTAATTTATTCTGTTTCAGTGATGAACCCCCACCTGGTTAGATGCTCAGTCAGATAAATATTGTGCAATTTCCTGGTGCTCACCAATTTAAATGAGTAATTTGCATACATAAATATATTTTTTCTGAAGTAAGCACATTGTGTTACAGGAGTCTCACTTTGCCACTGAGATCGGCAAGATTAAGTATATTGGATTTATTGGAATTAGAATCTAAATTCTGATTTTTCAGAAACTGTGAAATGGCTTACAAGAAGGAATGCTTGAAATGCACTTTTGAGTGTTTCAATTACATTTTACCACATCGTTGTATCCCCTGCTAGTTTTTTGGCTCAGGATTTAAATGTTTCTTGGAATAACCCTAAACACTGGGAAAGGAGTGCTGGATTGGTACTGTGTGTACCCAGCTGTGTGGCATCTGCTCTGGAGCTTGTTAGTGTGTAGATGTTCAGAAGCACAGACAGATCAGATGTGCAGTTTTCTACAACCTGCGTAGGCATATCTAAAAGGAATCTTTTTCTTTACCATTGCGAGTTAAAAAAGAAGCAGTAGTACAGTTGCATAAGTTTCAATGAGTTCCTGGCTTTATCATTGATCATTGACAATGTAAAGACAAAGTATTTCTGGAAGTATTTGGATTGTGTGTGTTCATCACAGTAAAAGCATTTGTTCCTTCAGAGAATCTTTTTTTCATGTTTTTACTGAAATAAGTTTCATCATGCTTGTCCTGTTCATACTTAATTTTTCCTTTTTTTTGAGAACTTTCTTTGAACTTAAAAGTACTTTTTAGGAATAATTTGTTTGGTTGATAACCCTTACAAATACTTCTTTGTCTTGCTTTTATTTCCTATCAGAATTCCAAGTTGCATTGTAGTTTCTTCTGTATTCTGTTACATGATCTTTGTATGCTCCTTGTAGAAAACATTGTGGCTTCACAAAAATCATTGAAATATTAAGGCATATCTTTTCTTTCTTTGCTTAAATTTTACAGAGTAGGCAATAAACAGCAGGAAAAATTGTTAAAAAGTTCTTTGAAAGTTATCATCAGAATAGGAAGTTTAGTTGTCCAGTGAAGGACCCTGGTCTTGCCCTGTGCCTCAGATGATCACCTGTAGAGTATACCGTGCATAATCCACATTAGAACAGTTTCTCACTGTGAGAACAAGAAAACACTGTAGTAAATTCCCCAGAGAAGGGGTGAAATCTCTGCTTGACAGCCCCCTGGGTAACCTGACATAAGGGTCTGATTTCAACAGAAGGCTGGACCAGGTCATCTCCAGACATCCTTTCCAACCTAATTTTTTCCATGATTCTGTGAATCTGTCTTTGATACTGAAGCAAATATGAGGAAATGGACCAGGCAGGCTGCTGTACTGCTTGAAATGTCTGGAGAGTAGTAGTCCTGGCTACTCTAATCCATTCCTGAGAGAAGCAATTGTGCTGTATTAATCAGAAAATGAGAGGGGAGGGCATTCCTGGAGTTTTTCAGAGGAGGGATGTAACGGATGGCTAGAGTGGGGGGGAAATTCCTGTGCAAATTTGAACATAAGTATCAAGGAGAGTAGCTGGACAGTTGAAGAAACCTAGGACAAAAAGGGGGTAAATAAGGAGGGAAAAGGCAGAATGGTTTGAATATACATTTGGTATACTAAACAGTTTTCAGTATTGAGTGTATTTACTATGTGTGATAAGGTTTGGATGGCAGAAGGGCTGATAATGCAAGAGCCTCTGGATGCTGAAGGTCGTGTAGTTTGGATAGTCTTCTTTGGGTTATTGAAAGAGGAGAACTCTGAAAGTAATGGAGGAGAAAAGGTACATTAGGACATTCTTAAATGTTCTGTAGTTTGAAGCCCTTGGAGAGGCTGGTGGCTCACCACTGCTGTCTTAAATACTTGAGAAAGAGAAAAATAAGGAAGCGAGTTGTTTGGAGCAGGTCTCGGCATAGTTACTTTTTCATAAAATTGGCCATATAAACTCAGAGATGAAAGACAGTGACCCTTCTCTAAGTTGAAAAATTTCTTTTTGTTATTTTTCATTGCTTCAGGGAAGTTGGATTATGTAAGCAGATGGGTATTTTGTTTGCCTTTGTAATCGATCAAAATATGCTTGACATTGTGATTGCTTTTCTTTTTTAGCATCATCATTTTCTTCAGAGAGTAAGGTTAATTCTCTCCTTAGATTGTTCTGGATCGTTCCATTAGCTGGCTACTGCAACTGTCAACAAAATACCTGTCTTAAGACGCTTTCTTCACTTTAGTCTATAGATGAAATCAAGGGTATCTCTGAAATGTCACTGCCATGTCATGTGTGCTGTGTATGTCAGATTACACTTTGGAGTATGATACAGAAATTGTCAGAAAAACCTGAATGTGTGCTTTAGTGTGACATTAGTTTGATCAGACCAGTTACTACTGTTGCAAATGCCTGTTTTTTGTATAGTGCTTAGGTATCTGTAGAAGACAACCACATTGTAGAGAAGAGTTAATACCCTTATCCTTGTCTCAAGATGGGGAACGTTGCTGTGAAGAGAGAAAGTTCCTTGCCCATAGTCACACACAGAATCAGTGGTGGAGCTAGGGTTAAAATCTGCATCTCTGTTAGGCAATCTCTTAATGGTGGGTTCTGAAGAGTAGTGTGGTATCGGAAGGGGAGATTATGTTTTGGATTGAATACACCCAACATTTTAATAAAAGCTTTGCATAACCTATGAAAAATTTTGTCTCAGTATGTCGAACTGTCTCTATCCAGATTTTTATTATCCCTACTAAATAAAATAGATGGCTTTTTGCCACTGTCTGTTTAGCTAGCTGTAAGCCCTGTTGGGCATATTGCATGGTATGCTGATTAATGATATAGGCTGTGGGTGATTAGCCATGCATGTAACAAGGTCCATAGGTTCCAGTATATTGTAGAAATACCATGCATCGGTATAACCACACAGTCTGTCATGTCTTCTGCAAAGTAAATTTAGACTAGTGGTGTAGCCCCTGAAGAGCTGCTGCAGTGCCACACAGCCGGGCTTGTTTTTAGAGGAGTCTTAAATTTAGTCCAAAGATTTGTAGGTTTGGTGTTTCGTGTTTTTTGTTTTCCTTGGTATCTTTCTCACTGTAATTATGGGCATCTCCCTACCCCCATTTTTCTTTCAGAATAATCCAAAAGACTTAATATCATGTGATAAGTGTTGGATCTTGTATTCTATATGTGCTTTAAAAAGTTTCTTATATTCTCAACAAGCAAGGGCAGGAGACAGAATAGCTTGATGAATTCTGACAAACAGCATGCTGTTTTATAAAATTTCACTAGATCAAGCTGTCAGATGTCAAAGACTGTATGTGCTGATTTTGTGGCTGAATGCAATTTTCTAATATATTAATACTGGTTAAATACTTTGTTTTTTAGCGAATGCTGAAAATACGTAATAATTTTTACTTTCATTTCACACTTTAATGCAGTAATTCTGTTATGGGAGTGGAGTTTTTTTTATCATGTCCTGAACAATCATCAGGATCACAGCTTTGAGGCTATATAAATTCAGATTATTCATAATGTTTTTTCTTCTGAGTTTTTTCTAGAGCAATAATATGAGGTAATTAATTTGCTTTTAGTTATTAACTCTTATTATTAGTCTTGTTAAAATTTCTGTAAATAAAATTTCTGTAAACTTATCTCTGAAAAATTTACAGGCAGTAGCTCAATTCCAAATTTCTTTCATATCATGAAGAGACAGTTTACTGAAACAGAGTGGAGTGTAATCAAGTCTATGAGTAATGAATGGATGCAGCTGGATATGTTTCATCGGCACTGGGTAGTGTTTCTTTTTCTCTATTTAAAGACTGTAATGCTATAATCTGCATGTTTTCTTTTGATATGTTTTGTTACTATTTTCATTATAGTAAAATTGTATACTTTTTATAGTGTCTTGTTCTTTTGGAGATACTATTTTAATTTGATATTTTAGTGGGTTTTTTTAATGTTATAATAACTTTGAGAACAATTGTACAGCTGAGTTTTCTAGAAAGATATATGACTATCATTTTAAACACATACCCAGAGCAAGGTAAAGTGATCATATCTGTGTGTACAGTTGGTAATTTTGCTTGCGTATTCATTATAATGCAGCAAAGTTAGGCAAGGTATTAATAACACTGGTAACTTTTTCTTTTGGTAATTTCATCATTCTACCCTCACATTTACAGTAGTATAAGTCTTAAATTTATTTGGTCTTTAGTGCTGCTCAGAACTAAAACAGTTTGAGAACAGCCAGTATGACTAAAATACATTTATTCTGTGTTCTAGGCCTTGAAGGAAAGCTTCTTAAAGGCTATTGGAGTAGGAATTGGCTTTAACTTACAAAGAATTGAATTTAATGTGTCCCCACTACAACTGGAAATAGGGAATGTGTATAAGGAGACAAAAATGCTTCTGGATGGAGATGAAGAAGAAGAGTGGACATTTGAAGTAAGAAATACTCGATTTTATTTTTTCAATAATAGGAAACAGTCTCAACACCCATATGGTTGCATCACACTTTTTTTTTTATTTATTGCATCTTTACACCTTTGTTCTGTATCACCACGTTGAACATACAGCAATAAAAACTTGGGATAGTAATCCACAGCATTTTAAAATATTTTTGATGATTGCAAAACCACCAAGGTTTGTTTGTCGGAATGGCTCTTTATTTTTTATGTTCCTCAAATATACTTCTCGCACTCAACGAAATTCATCCTAGGGAGTTCAGGAAATTCACTGAAGCATATGCAGACCTGATTTGTGAACAGTGTCTAAGATTTTCAAGTTCTTCAACAGTTGGTCTAGAATGGGACTAGTGAGTAACTAACCCCATTAGTTAGTGTTTATGTTAAATGTTTGAAGTAGAGGAGCTGTCTTCAGCTCCTTTGGGTTTCTTGGTACTTGTCCATGCAAACTGGTAGAAATGTACTTTTGTGGGTATGAATCTCTAGTGTGCTGGTTAGCTGCTGTCTGTGGGAATGGAGAGATGCAAAAATCTTGTTTTTGATTAACTGGAACATTGGTTTGAGCTCAGCCTTCTATCAGAACATTGGGTTTATTTTTTGTGGGTGTTTTTTTTTTTATTCTTGAAAGTTATTAAGACATCACCTAAACATCTATCCTGTTAGATTTGGTAGGAAATGATCAATAGCATCTAATTCAGTTTAAAGGTTAGAGAGAGAAAGAACTAACAGGAGCAATGTTTTAGTGGTGGACTTGATAGTGTTGGTTAGTGTTTATACTTGATGGTCTTGAGACTCTTTTCCAACCTTCTGATTCTGTGATTCTGTACAATGACCTCAAATTACTTCATTACCCTAAGGAACCAAGCTTAAAAAATTTAATAAATCATAATACCATTTCTCTACTTTCCAGAGGTGTTTTAATCAGCTGCTTAAAACAAAGGTTGAAATGCAAAAGACATTCACTTAAAATTGTCCATAAAGGGCACCTTGTTCCAGTCTGCTGCAAGTTTGTGCTGCTGGTGTGTAGACAAGTGCATTTTCCAGAAAGAGTAATTTACAATACCTGTTTATACTTCAAAAATATCTGCATTTTTGTAGACAACAATTCCAGTAAAGCCTGTCTAAATGACAGATTTCTGCTGTATGCTTGTTCTGTGTAGGAGTCAAAACTATGTGTATGCTATGCATGTAGTAAAAAAGAATTAACGTACCAATAAGATTTAACTTACAGCATTAGTTGAGCTGTTCACAGTTCATTCCTTTTAGTATTTCTTAGCCACATCTGGTTTTATGCTATTTTAAAAGCCTACCCATATTAAATCAGCTCTCTCACTAATATTGTCATACTCTCTAGGAATTGAGTATGTCATGAAATTTGCTAATGGGGAATTGCAGACTGGCAAATTGGGAAAGACTGTGACATGCATTTTATCAGAATGCTTTCTGTATTGCTGCTAACAGTATGCCATTGTCAAGGAAACATCTACTTCTATCAATTGAGTTCTAGAAATCCTAATTTTGGTCTTTGATGACATGCCTGTGTCTGGTTGACTAAAATAGCCTGAAGATGATGATGTAGATAGCTCCCTACATACTCAAATGCTTTATTATTATTTGATTTTTCCTTATTACTTTGTAATTACTGCTAGAAGTTTAATTTAATTTTTGTCTGAGGAATGTCTCCTCTTCCATGCTTGCCCTTCTGCTTCCCAAGAGTGCAGCCTTATTACAAGGCAGTTTGCAGTGTTACAAAGAATGGATTTATTATCAAGTTTCATTTAATACAAGCTCAATTAGAATATAATTTAATCTAAATATCAACAATTATTAACCTGAAATTGGAAAAAAAATAGTTTTTCAGTTACCAATCCCCAACCTAAAATTAAGCATCACTTTCCTTTTTTGATCTTCTCCCAAGTTTGTTTTAGTTTTGTGCCCATCAAAGACAAAGGTCCTTTCTAATTTCATCATTAGCTCTTGAAACAGCTTCTTATCTGAAAACAATAATTTACTGATTTTGAGAAATCTGAAGAGTCACCAAGAGAAATCTGTAAGAATCACCTGTAAGATTCCATATTACTGGTATAGTGTTTTCCTTGTGTTCCCTGTTGTTCTCAGTTTGCTTGAGGGAACATTTTTTACCAAATAAAAAAATATAATGACCTCACTTTTCAGGTCTTCCTATATGTTTATAATAGGAGGTGATCAAAGAGAGCAAGGCTGTTTAAAAGCCAATTAACACATGGTTTTGGATTGTCTTATTTGAGTTTTAAAAATACTCTAATTTACCAAAAACAGAACAGGGAAGCAAAGGGGATTTTATCCATTAAAATTACATAAAAATTCTGAAATATCCTTTAGAATGTACTATGCAAAGTGGAAAAAGCAACTTAGAAACATTAAGACTAGAAAAAGATCTACCATATTATACTTGTCATACTAAAAGGTCAGGAGAAGTACTAGTGAATCGAAGCAAATCAATGTTGACACTGTTCAGACACCCTAAACTGTTCACAAGAGCAAAGCATGTTCATACCAGAGAGAATTTTCTGTGAGCATGTAAATAATAATTTTCTGCTATTTCATTGTAAACACCAAATGAACTGCCTTGTTGTGTAGTTGACTGTGACCCCTTTTCCAAGGAGATTTTTTACCTAGTTTTGTTCGAAGTGTCTTTCCCCTCCTTCGCTCCTCACGTATTTTTGAGCTTGGATAGACAACAGTAGCTCAGAAACAGTTTCTTGCTGTTTGATCTTGTTGGATCAGTTTAGCTTTAGGCACCTGTTTTCATGTAGTACTCTAGAGATGGCTAGGCAGAGTCCCTGCAACTGTTTTTGGAAGGAGAAGGAAACAGTAAAACTTCATTTAAAAGCATAAATCTAATTTTAAGATGTGTTTAATATGTTTTATTCACATAGGCAGTGTGCACTTTTCCTCGTTTTATTAAGGTGAGTTTGTTTAGTAACAGAAATTTTGCTAGCCCAGTGAAAAGCAATACAGTATTTGTGTCAGATTGTTATTTTAAGATGCAACAATGATGATAATAATGTAGATTTGGGGTAATTCTGCATGCTCTATTTACTTCCTTTGAAGAAAATAAACTTACAGAATTGCCCTAGTTTTTCTGGGATAGATTTCATTTTTTTCCCAGTACCTGGTACAGAATTGTCCTTGCTTCAGCTGGAATAGATTTAATTTTCTTCCCAGTAGCTGCTACAGTGCCGTGGTTTGGATTTAGGATGAGAATAATGTTGATAACACACCGATATTTTAGTTGTTGTACCAAGTCAAGGACACCAGCTTCTTACACTGCCCTGCCAGAGGGGAGGCTTTATGATGTTTCGTGACTTGCTATGTTAAACTGCAACAAGAATGAAGTACCAGTTAATTTTAATAAAGGTGAAAGATAGGTGTCTGTAGCACATCTGATATATGGAAAAAAAGAATCCTAATTACTGATTTGCAAAATATTAAGTACTCATGATTTTTTCTTTATTGGTCCCAGTTTTGCGCCATTAGTCAGGAAGAATGACTGGATAACATTTACTGGAGTCTATATTAAAGAAGAATCTTAAATGAGACATAAGACCCTTCTATTTGGGTCCCTACCTCAATTTTGGATATAGCCAGTTTATAAAGAAAGCACCTAATTTATCCTAAACCTCATTTGGTTTTAAGAATCACCTGGCATCAGAGCTGCTACACAAGTAATAACAAATATTTGCTTTGTTTGCCTATATGCAAATACATTACTTTCAGAATATGTATTTCAGATTGAGGTTACCTGGATCGATTTGAAACATATTTAGTAATTGCTGTTGGTATGCAACTATAACAGAGTCTTTCAGCCTCAGTAAGAGAAGTTAATTCTGTTGTATTGCCAGGAATAAATATGAATGAAAACTTTTACTTCTAAGACCATTTAATCCAACTGGATTCACACAGCAATCAGTTCTGCTTGCTGGGAAGGTACAACTTCTTCATAAGCTCTCTGTTGTTGAGCGAATCCAGAATGATTTGAATCCCAGACACATCGCTTTGCTGAGCCTTTGAAATGAGGTCATATGTCTTGTGCCTGTAGCTTGAACAGCTCTGGTAATACTCTGGTTATGTGCAGAGCAAAACGAATTTTGATCAGTTATGTTTGCTGGTTTATAGAGATGAATCTTAACAAAACAAACTACCTCAGAGGTATTCTGTATGATTGTCCTCTTTCTCTTTTTTGTTTAATCGTCTGTTTCCACTTAGAAGTTGGATTTATTGTGTAAAATTGGTACAGCAGTATCCCCAGATGAATAGGTAAGCAAGCTGATTCGCTGGTTTTTGTGGTTTCAGGATGTTTCATTAACTCCATGCCTTGAGGCTTTTGCCGGCTGCTGGTGGGGACCAGGAGAAGTCTCCTTCCCTCCTGTATTTGACTGGGCTTTACATTTATTTCTCTGAAGCAGCAAAGATAAGATGAAGAGCATAGTTTGTTATATTTTATTGTAAGATGCAAAAAACCTCGTGATCACAAAGGATATCTGAAGTGAATGAGGTGGAACTTCTGACTTCAAATGTAGGGTGCTGCTGAATATGCTGTATTATATCCTCTGTTCTGATCAGTCTTTACAGTCTTGGACATGCAGGAAATGAAAGGAAAGAGGGAAATACATGACCAAAAACTGGATGTAACAGTTTTTCCACCTAGATGAACACAAAGCACTGCACCTTAGAACTGTGTAAATTGTTCAGCTGCATTTGATCAGACATATAATTTTCATAGTCTGTTTTTGAGGAAGTTCTAGAAATGTGCATGATGTGTAAAAGTGGTTAGATTTCATCAAACCTGAGGTAGCATTCTTTATTTTCAGTCTTCTACCCTAGTAAATTAATAGAAAACCAAGTAAAATATTTCAAGGTAAATACACTGCTATAAAGGACTATTGCTATTTGAATGCAATTACTTTACAGTATTTTATATTATGCTCTGCTTTTTTTCTGAACCATACTCTAAGCATTTGTAGTCTTTGCTGGAAACAGAGTAAAGAAAACACATTTATGTTGCTATTATTCATCTTTACTAGGAAACCCGGTTAGATGACCATCATCACGTTGCAGTGGCCCTTGGGAAACAGGAGGGACTTGTACAGAAGCATTCTGATGTAAGAAATTACAAAATGTTTTCAGTTCTTGGTAACTAATCACTTGAACATGATCTTAGTCTGATGCTGTAGCTAAAAGTGTGTTATCTCAGATGTAGGGCCAAGGAGAAAGCTTATCTTAAGCATAGTATTAACCAGAGTTAATAGAACCTCTAGTTCTGTTGTGCCTTTTTTCAGGACAGGTATGAGAAGGAGAAATGCTTTCAGAGGACAGTGACAGATAATGTCAAATCTGGAATGTGTATGTTAGTGTTTCAGCATGTTCACTGAACAGTAAATCAAGTGATTTTTGTCACAGCGTGATAGTACTTACGTGGGAAAGATGTTTTTTGCAGAGGGAAATGGAGACAGTGAACCAGCTAACCTGTCACAGCACTTCACCAAGTTGATTTTACAGGGGACTTGTCAGTACATGTGTCCCAGAGCAGAGCCATCTTTCAAACACCATTATCATAAGGTAACCCCTGAGACAAGCAACAACCAACAGATGGGAGGAACAGCAGTGCTAGTCTTCATTCGATGTGTGTGTCTACTGAGAGAAGCAACAAAGCTACTTACAAGCTTTTCAGGATTTTCTTTGTAATTTAACAAAGACCTGGATCATGAAAATAGCCATAAAAGTCAAATTTGAAGCAGACTTGCAAGTTGTAGCTGAAATAGCCAGTCAGCAAAGCGAAGTGTGACAAACTGCCAGTTTTGTCTGTAGTGTTCTAGTTGCTCACAAGAAAATGGGTTATTGTTTTCTGTTATTTACATAAAAAGATTCTGTCAGAAGCTAGAAAACGGTAATTAGTATATGCATGGATGAAAGAAAGAAAGTGGTCATGTACACATCTATCGTGGTCATAAAGTCTGAGTCTGTGTTTATGGGTAGTACAGAGAGGCAGACCTTTTAATTAAGTATTGGTTAGGTTGAAAAAAACAGGTAAAAACTACCTTTGAGGATTTCTTGTAGTACATCAGTGCTGAAATATTCTTTAAGAAAGTATGTGCATTTTGTTTGAGGGGACATATTTAAGTTGCCAGTGGTGCTGCATATCATCCTTTCTACAGGAATACTGATAAATATCTGTCTGAGGTGAAAAGAAGGTGGCCATTTTTTCTAAGGACAATTACCTAAGTCTTCTACAAAAGTCCAGGTGTTTTGTTGACTTTCACCATCACTGTTACACACCTTAAAATTATCGAAGAAAGAACAGTCATCCGGAGTTAACGATGAGAAGTCTGAATCAAGAAGAGTCTCAAAGGCATACTTGTCCACTGACAAATTTGTGATGGCCTAAATTTCGTTAGCTCAAATCACTGAAAAGAAGGTCATTTTAAATAGGACAAGTGAGCATTCTGTAATTCCCAATATGGAAATAAAATACTTTTTCATGACTCTGACATGAATGTGGAGGAAATTAAAAGTGGCCTTCTGTCTTTCTAAATTTTGCAGAATGGTAAGAAAGGATTCTCTGTATTACTAGATGTGTCGAGAGGAAAAGGTGTTCTTCATCTTAGTTAAAAAAAAAAAAAAAACAGTGTGTAGACATCATGCAACTATTTCAAGATGTCAGTACTTGTTTCTGTTCCCTCTGTGCCATCAAAGGAATAATTTGTGATGTCCTATTTATGGACTTTCAGAGCTTTCTTCCCAACCTGATAGCAAGTGGCTACAAGTCACAGGAAAGACCAATTGTTACTTTAACATACTATAATTTAAATTCTCTAGTTGTCAAGAATCTTGACAAAATGTCTGCTGCTGACTGCTACATGCTTGAAGAGACGGAACATTTATCTGCACTCTTAACCTAGATCTAGACAGTTACCCGAGGCAAGTCTCAATGAAAGATAGCTGAGTTTATAATTCTTTATAATTCCTATGTAGGCTACAAGGCGTTCTTTTTGTCACAACCCTGGACTGAAGGATCAGCTATATGCATGTTGGATTCATGGAGCTTTGCTATCTGGAAAGAATTATGCTTACAGATAGCATACAGCAGGCAGGCAGCAAAGTAACATGTGCTCACAAAAAACAGACCCTTTTTTCTTTGAAATGTAATTTTTCTTGAAGTGATGGCACTAACACAGGGACTGTGACACACTCATTTCTCATATCTCAGTCTACATTTAATCTGGGTTTAACACAGGGAATTGTGTTGACTGTGACCATTTTTTTCCTTAAATAGCAAGAGTTTGAGAGATGTATGCACAACCACAGTGATTGCTGGTATTAAAAGAGTATGTATAGACACACTTCTAGTGGAATAAACCCTCATGCTATTATCTCAAATAATCATGTCTACTGGAGAATGAAGTAGAGTTTGTTGAATGGTTTTCTTCCTTTTTTCTGAACTTAAACCACTTGCTCTGTGGTATTTGCAGCATTCTGTATCTCTCATCTTTCTGCTTTCTGAATTGAGTTTCTAAGAAAAGCTTGCTTTTTCTGTGTGGCCTGTTACATACTTCCATTAGTTACTGTGTAGCCTAAATTAGAGACAGTGACATTGGTCTCAACTGAATTTTTTTTATTTTTTTTTTTCAGTAAGCAATGTATAGTTTAAACTGGACAGGGAGTACTGCAGGAAGAAAACTGAGATGTATTGATTCATGTAATACTAATATGTATTTTCTGTAGGTATGGTCCATGGAGCCTAATCAGCCTCAGTTCACATTACTGACTTTTGAAGATTTAGTCTCATCTGGTATTCCAGTCACACCTGAGGATTCTGGATACTGGGATAATTTTTGTTCTAAGCAGGAGAGTCCAGTGAAACAGAATTCACTTTCAAGACAAGACTGCTTATAAGAAGAAAATTGTCAAAGTTATCATGCTGTTACTCTACATAATTCAGTGTGGGAATAAGTGCACATGTGTAAATTTTCCTGATTTAAACTGACAGTCTGATTTTTCACCATTTTAAAATTTATATTCTTTATCAATATCTTAAGGAAGATGCATCTTTCCTTGCTGAAGGAATTCTGGGTGAATAGTCTGGAGCTGGCCACATACTTTTCTGCTTCTCCATGTTTGTGCTGCTTACACTGCAGTAGTTACCCATGCAAGGAAGAGGGAGCAGAGCTACAATAATGTTGTTGGTTAGTCAACAAGTGTTTCATATATAAAAATGTGTTTCTATACTTCATTTATGCTGAAGCTTAAATTATGGTACTGTCTTTTTCTCACATTTGAAGACAATATTTTATTGCCTTACAGTGAATTAAAATTTCTGGAGAAGAGACGTAGATCTTGAGTGCATCTTCTGAATATTCTGTATTCTTTTTCAAAACAAGTCCTAGTTTGTACCATTACCTCCCAGTTTTCTTTCTAGAAGTCATAGATAGAGTACGGTCCATCTTAATGTAAGGAAATGTACTGAACAGAATGAGTCATACTGAATGTAATGATTTTCACAACTAAAGCCAGTTCTTTTCTGTCATACAGTTAAGCATAGATCTTCAGTGAATCTGAGTTTGTGTGCAACTTGGCTGCAGTCTGTATTCTGACTAAATAAGAATCTACTTGTAGTGTAACCATTGGAGCCATGCCTTGTTGCAATAAAATATTTAAAGGGAGAAGGATACAAGCTTTATGATATTATACAAGCTTGTGGATTTTTGCTGTAGATAATTCAGATATGCTGTTAATTTTTCCTACTTTTACCGGTTCTTTTTTTCTGTTTTAATGACAACCTCATCTTCCATTTTAATGACACCCTCATCTGGCATACTAATTATAGCTTTTGATGTTTGGCTTTTTTCCTCCAAAACTACAGATCAGTGAAACAGTGACTCATCTCTCCAGACTCCACAGGGGTCAAATTTTGAAGTGAACAGGAATACAGAATAATTTTAATACAAGTTTTAAGTCAGATATTGTAGACTGTTTTTTTTTTGTTGTGGTTTGGTTTCTGTTTGTTTGTTTTTAATTAAATACAATTTTCAATAAATAAATGGCACTTTGGAGGCCAGAAAAGGCTAGTCAGTGGATATGTAATGGTGTCACTTACTGGGGTAGGATATTTTAAACTGAGTCATTGACTGTGTCTCTGTTCTACTTGGAGTGTACTGTAATCCCAGATGGGCAAGTGCATGGTGGTGTTTAAGAGCTGAGATAACCAGAAGCTTTCCTATGCTGAAAGAAAGAAAGGAAGGATGTGTTCTGCCACAGCTTTTGGAAGTCTGCAGAATAAGGAGGCCTATTCAGTATGAGGGTCTGGAGAGTACAGGGTTCCATGGCTAGCTGGCTGTTAACTGATCAAGTATATGCCAGTCCTCAGCAGTCATTGATGACCCCATCAATTGCATCTGTACCAGCCAGTTTAAATTTAAAACTTTTTTGCTGGGATAATGAAATTAACAGCAAATCCGAGGTGAGAAGAACAGAGATTTTTCAGATCTAGATTTCTGGGGATAAAGGAATTAGTTTCATATTAGAGATGAATTATTTTTGCTTGGTGTCAGTGTCTCAAAACAGAATTTTTCTCTCACTGGAAAGAGTTTAAAAATGTTCATGGAATTATAACACTGGGTTTGCATGTAGGTAAAGGACAAAACGTTTTTGTTAAATTAGAAAATTATACTTGGTTTGCTTGCCAGCAATATGACAATTTTCAGGGCTATATCTAATTAGAAAGGTTACAAAACCAAAGGGGTTTGTTTTGGTTACCTTTCCATGAAATAAAGTTATCATTTCTAATGGCCCAGGCAATCATCTAGAAGACTGCAGTTCCTCACACCATGATTTTTTTTCTTAAGTAGCATTTTTAAATCTTAATTAGGTAGCAGTAAGGCTAGGAGATGGTAATACAGGGTGAAGAGCCACTTGAGTGAGGTTGTTCAGTGTCACTGCAAAAGAACTGAAGTTTTACACTTGCTTTTACCACCATGGGAGTGAGCATCTGTATAGTTGTGGAATTATCAGCTAAAAGCATGCTTCTAAAAGGCCAGCAGGACACTGACTCTTTATGAATGTGAATGATCCTTCTTAAAGTCACCAGAATGTTTTTCTGGGCATCTGTGTAGTGTGGAGGCACATATTAAAATAAATGCTGCTAGCGTGCACAGATAAATTTATGTGATCTTACTAGAATTTCATTTTCAAATCAGTTTGAAGATTTGAATCAATTCTAGGATGTTTTACATTTTTATTATTATTTCATCATCACCCATTCCCTTATATAAAAAATTGAGCCCTGTATCCACACATGGTCATAAAAATGCCTTCCTTGCATTCCCTCAGAATACAGTCTTAATGTCTGTGGAGTATCTCTGCCATTTTCAGCAATACTGATCCAGCAGGGCTCCAGCTTCCCTCATTAATTCAAGTTGTTGGCCTGGTGCAGATGAGCTGACCTTGGCTCATCTCCCATCACTCTTCTATCTGCAAGAAATTTCCCGGTTATCCCTAGAAGCCCCCTGGCCTTCAGGTTCCTTCTCCAGAGCTACATTTCTTTATCTGTTTCGTTTTCTGTATGCTGCTCTAGACATGGCCATGGCATGAAGCTGGGTCCTAGAGGATAAGTGTTCAAGGTAAATTTGCATCTGTGACAAAAGACTGGTGCCATTTGATGTGAAAATCTGTAACTTTGAGAAGTGGATTGTGTGAATTCACTCAGGCTTTCACAAAGTATATATAATATATATATTTTATATAATATGCAAGATGTATATTGTTAGTATATTACGGGATCAAGTGCACTGATGTTGATCAAACGTACTCAGACAAATAGTAGAGTTAACAGCAGAAGCAGTGTGTAAATGAGGTTGTAATTTATAGGTTCTTGGAAATATTCAGGCAACAACTTACCTCTAAACAATCATCTTTACCCAAGACATTGCAATAAATTCATGATCTGCAGAGAAGATCAGGAAAGGAAGGCAAAGATAGGTACCTATTCAAGTGAGCAGAGACTGTCTCTTTGTCAGAGCTTTACAAGATCATAGTGCCGTATTCTACAACGAAAAGCGGTTTGTGGGCAGAACTGATACAACCAAGTCTAAAAAGGTAATTCAGACTTCCCTCCTTAACTGCTGCTCAATTCTGCAAGTGGCTGCACATGCTAATTTGCACATCATGTTCCTCCATTTTAAAACTTTTTTTCAAAAAGTCAGTTTTTGTACTGTGGTATTTTCTTGTCCTGTGCATACAGCGTTTTTTATAGCCAGATACTGTGTCTAACTCCTATTTCTGGTAAGATTGAGTTTAATTTCTTTATTGGAATAAAAAGTGTGTTATTTTGTGTTTGTGTTCTGATTTTGTATTGTCTATTTGTGGTTCTTTTATGGCTGATTTTTAATCTCACTGTTATTTAGATCCAGATGTAAGCGGGATTTCTGAAACACCTGTCTAATACTTTTTGGTTATTTTTGAAACAGTTTATGGGAACATAAAACTGTATACTCTTACTGGCATCCTTCGGATGACTTGTGAAACAAAGGGCTGGACCAGTTGTCCACGCGCCGGTATTCGTACAAGATTAGGTGTGTTCAAGTCTTTCTTTCCAGACAAAGACACTCCCTTGTTTCTTCCTGTAATTCCAATTTAGTAATGTGCAGCCTACTTTCTTGACATAACTATGACATAATATTGGTGTATAATATGTGTTAGTCACTCATCACTTGGTCCAAATTGCAATAGTGTGGGGTTTAATGCTTGCGGGAAGATAGAACTTCAAATGCAAGGTTACAGTGTTGCACAGTGTTACTCATGCAAGAAAATTTCTGGCAATTATTTTTTTGGAGCTATGTTGTAGAACACAAATTTCATGTTGTAGGAGGTTTTTTTTGCACAGGAAAAGGTGGCATGTGCAAGCAAAGGAAAACAAAAGATTCATTTTCTATTTCCCATCAGACAGCGATGTCCAGCCACTTACCAGGAAGTTTTTGGTAGCTCCAAAAGACAAATTAAATAATGAATGCCCTCTCACCTCCCTCCTTTCTCTTAGCTTTTATTGCTGAGCAGGTGTCATACAGTGTGGAATATCCCTTTGATCAGTTTGAGTCAGCTGTCCTGCCTGCATCCCCTCCCAAGATCTCACCCACCCCCAGCCTACTGGTGTTGGGGAATGTTGGAGGGACAGCCTTGATTGTGTGTGAGCACTGCTCAGTGGTAGCCAAAGCACTGGTGTAGTACCAACACCTTTCTAGCTACCAGTACAAAGCACAGTGCTATGAGGGCTGCTGTGGGGAAGATTACCTCAGCCAGACCCAATACAAGTTTGCATTTGAAACAGCACACAGGCAAAAGTCTGAAAATACAGTCTTGAAAATGTTTTCCCTTTAAAGTGAATGTTTTGTTTTTTCTCTGCTTCGTTATCATAGCTTTCTGTAATTTATCACTGCTGCCATCAGGTGAGTGGATTCTCAGCCTGCGTTATCAGTTGATTGTTCAATGTGCTTCTCATGCTCATCAAGAGCTTTTGTGAAAGGTACAGTGAATTGCTTATTCAAGTGAGGTTACTGGGCTTTTTGCAAGAGAAATGGAATTTTCCTGCATATATTAAGTTCAAACACTGTCGACTGAATAGAGTAATATCAAGCAGTGTTTACTACCTACATAAAAGCATTTTGTTAATCTTGTGACAGCTGTGTGATCTACAATTGGTTAGCTACCTGTACAACATTAGGAAAATACATGGGATTATTTTGTATAGTAAAATTGTGTGTGGTAAAGGCTGTACTTAGTGTGTACTTTCTTATAACATAATTAATATTCTCATGTGACTGAAAACAGTGTATTGTAAAGAACTGATAGTTCTGATATCACTGTTTTGGCTTAATTGCTTGTTAAGATCTTCAGATGATTTGCCTTGTTAATTTAGAATGTTTTCCCTAAAGTGCAATAGGATCTTTATTTGCATTTAAACTGGGGCAAGCAGACAGCTTCTGCTTGCAGAAACCATTGTTATCTCTCACCTTTCAGAATAAAAAGAGAGAATAGCAAGCTGCTCATTGCAGTGCAAGCACATTGGTTTCTGTTGGCTTGGGTAAAGTCAGATACCCTGGCTATAGAATTATGTAACATCAGTCACATAAATGTCTTTAAGTAATCAGGAAATAAGTTTACTTTCTGAGATCAGTCTTCAGTTTTAAAAGGGAAGAAAGTAATCTCAAATGAAGGCAATATTTTTTCCCAGAGTAAAGGGCTGCTGAAATAGTGAATAAACCTTGTATGTGCCAGGAATTTTAAAGTATATCTGATTTATTTATAAAGGACAATTTGAGGGCTTCTGAAACTGCTAGAATGATTATGGTTTTCGGGGGGTGGGGGTTGTGTGACAGCAGTTGAGTGCAGCATTGGCTGGGTTGTTGAATTTGTATAAACAAGCTTTTAAAGGGAAATAACAATGCAGTTTCATTAAAATTTAAATGTGTTAATGCAAATATATCTGTTTCAGCCACACAATGTTTTTTAACTCGTTTCTTAGAATACAGCCAGTTCATTGCTGGTAGATGTATCAGTTTCTACAGGTATGTAGCATTTACACGTACATATAAATGTATAAGCATTATATGTATATATATGATATATACATAATCAGCTTTAAAAGAACTAGACACTAAACTCATCTTTATGAACTCAGTAACCAGGAAGTGTAGGAAAAGAGCTTCAAGAGTGAGTAATATGAATGGTACAAATGCATTTGGCTGATTGAACAGACAATTTTAAGGCCAGGTAGGGGGGAAATTT